ATAAAAAGATAAAGAAGTATATTGGCAGTTTAAAGTCCTTTTACTATGGTCGTTAAACATATGGTAATTAAAGTATATTTATCCGAAAGGATACTACATAGTGAACCAATTCTATTTGCTGCATTTATCTCTAAGGAGACTAAGCAAATACTAAAAAAAATCAAATATAAAATTCTGTTATTTTTTATAAAACTAAACAATAATAAAAAAAATTATTTTCTATCATTTTCAAAGTTTGATAAAATTCTGAATATTTTAACCAATCTCTTAAATATTATTGCAGGTAACAGCAAAAATGTTATTTATTATCAAATACTCAATTTTTTAAACGGTTATTATCAATCAAAAGTTAATAACAAACAAATAAAGTTCATTTAGACTTTCTCAAGTATTAACAACATTTCCGATAACTGCAATGGCATTAAAGGCTTCTCAAAACATATTTAGTAACACTGATGTGTAACGATTCTCTATATTTTTGTATTACTTCTTTTTTGGGAGCGGACAAAAATACAGACTGTTGATTATAATGACTCAAAAATTCAACTAACTAAAAGCAAAAGATATATTTAGCGTACTCATAAGTTACCACCATTTAACCATTTAAAACGGAAAGCTTTTTACAATAAAGAACAATTTTTGGATTAAAGGTGGTATCGAAAACATTATTTTTAGTGATGAAGCCCATTTCCATCTTAATGGATATGTGAACAGGCACAATTACCGATATGGGCCCAAGATAATCCGCGGCAAAAACATCAACGACAATTACACTACGTATGGCACACCATATGATCACAAAAAGTGATCATATGGTGTGCCATGTCCGCCTGGTGCATATTCGGGCAGTACTTTTTTAAAAATGGTGCAGGACGTCCCTTACTGTAAACAGCGCTCGTTACTCCACCATGATTCATAATTTTTAACGCCAATCCTTGCTACAGTTTCCTGGCTATGATTTCAACGGAACGTAGTTTCAACAAGCCAAGGTGCCACGGCACATACTGCAGAAATGTTGATCAACGCAGTTACATAACTATTTCCTGGTACGGTTATTTCCGTTAACAGAGATATTCCGTTTCCTCCACGATGCCCAGACCTGACCTTAGATTTTTTTCCATGGGGGTACCTAAAGAGTATCGTCCACACCGATCCAGTACCAGAAACGATCCAGCAACTGAAAGACCGCATTACCAATGCTATACGTGACACACATATTCAGATATGCCAGCGAGTTTTCTGCAGCTTACGCTCTAGACTAACAGCCTGCTACAAAGAAGACGGCCAGCATTTAAACGATGTTTTGTTTTACCAATAAATCCGCATTTTTAACGTATCTAGAAAGTCTATTAGAATTGTTCTACAATGATTTGAATGTTTGTTTTATTCCTGTAAAACCATAAATCCATTATGAGACACATTGTATAATAATTGTCACCGCGATGAACAGTCCAATCAAAACAGTCCTTCACAAGCTCCCACATAGAGTCGCCTACTCTCTGAGAGTCCTCCAGCTCGAAGTCTGCTCCACCTTACACTCCATCCAAGAATCTGAGGCTGATTTGCTGTTTCCTTAAATTGGGCTTTTCTTTTAAATGCAAGAATATATAGTCATGAATCCCGTCTAAGTTAAATTACTTGGTGGTTGCTCGAAGATGGATGCTGAAAGTACTGAAATCGCAAAGATCGCAAGATATGTCTGAGAATGTTGTAACCAATAGTTTTAGCACTATTAATTAGTTAGGTAAAATCGGTTCACAGTACTTCACGTGAAAGTGTGATTTTGTTAACGCACCCTGAGCTAAGCCCACTAGATCGCTGACTAACAGTTGAATTTTTACGTACGTAGTCTCTACACTCGAAAATATTTTTCATAGCTACCATAACTACATGGTTCATAGAGTTTGTTCTTAGAGCCGACATGACAGCCACATGGGCTGAAAATCGAGTCATTAAGGAACGCTGTCATATGTCAAAGAAATGTTTAATTAAAAATTAAGTAGTCTCTATTGCAAAAATTTCGACAGACCATCAACTACTGCAGAATTACATATTTAGACGTTAACAGGAAGAATATGATAGTTGCAAGAGCCGAAAAGTTATCTGTCACACAAATCCATCTTCGACAGTCAAAATGCGAATGAATTTTGTTCGATATTTTAGTTTTCTCAGCTTTATCTTGAACAGCTAAACTAAACTTTAATTGACGATGAAAACAGGATGTAGAGGACAGACTACAAACCATACAGAGAAGGATAATATAAAAGAATATGAAAATTATAAGAATTAGAGAGGCTAACAAAACAGCAAAAAAAGAGAGACATGCTCAATACTGCAGTAAAGTCTGCTAGAAGAGCATGTTGCGATGGCGAAAAAAGTAATTAAATTCTGCTTAAAAATAAGGCCAAAAGAAAAATAACTGTTTTCTAAAATGTGGCGTATTGGTTTAAGTCCGAATTCATAACACTACCAAAAAAACAACGTCCGAAAAACTGTAGCGATTATAGAATGATAAGCCTTATGAGCCACACTTTGAAAATATTTCTACGCATCTTCCACAGTAGAATCAGAGATAAATGTGAAGAAGACCAGGATAAAACACAATTTGGCTTCAGAAATGAACTCTTTGCACTAAATGTATTACTGCAGAAATGTCGAGATCAAAGGAAAGACGTCTTTGCTGTATTTATTGACTATGAAACGGCCTTTGATCGAGTACAGCATCACAAATTAATTACAATAATAAAAGATAAAGGAGTTGATAGTCAAAACATACGATTCATAGAAAAGTTATACTGGCGTCAAACAGCGACAGCTTGCATTAACGGAAAATCAACAGAAATATGTAAAATACAAAGAGGTGTCAGACAGGGTTGTATACTATCCCCACTGTTATTTAATTTATATTTAGATAGAATATTTAAGGAAGCGCTGCATAATTTCGAATGGGGCGTGAAAGTTAATGGAATTCTGATAAATACAATCAGATATGCAGACGATACAGTTATTTTAAGTGATGACATGAATGGACTACAATGCCTTTTAAATGCCATTGATACACTGGGAAGAGAGTTTGGCCTAAACATAAACTGTTTCGATTTGGCTTAAAGTGAAAACGTTTGTCCTATGAGCTGTTCAAGGTATGCGTAGCATTTTTTTAAAGCACCACATCTCAATGGCATCAATTTTTTGGCGCTTGCGTCCTCGAATATTCCAAGGCTGTACCCCGTATAGAAATATTGAGAATATAAGAGCATTCACCAGTCTCATCTTGATATTTTGAGAGATATATCTGTCTTTCCAAACTTTAGTTAGGTGACTCATCGCATCTTTTTCCATACCAATACGTTCTAGGACATACCAATACGTACTAGACCCAAGATAGACAAAGCTATCTACTATCTGGTATTCCTGTAACATGTTAGTTAAATAAATAGTGTAGAATCTGTCGAGCACTATTATTTTTGTCTTGGCTTTATCGATTTTTAGACCAACATTATTGCTTTTGTGTTCAACTCTTCGCAGGAGATTAAACATTTCTTGCTCATTTGCGGCTATAAGTGTAGTGTCATCAGCAAATCTTAAATAGGAGATTTTCCTTTCAGCCACTGTTACTCCAACGACATAAACGTTTAACATAAATGTTGAATAAGTCAAGTGACAACACGCATCCTTGTCTAACACCTCTCTCGGTCTTGAATTGGTTTGAAAACTTGATCTGATCTATTCGTAATGTTGTTATATTGGACTGGTACAGATTTTTAGTGTCACCAGGTGTATTGGTGTGACCATTTCTTTTAAAATGGAGCACAGATTTATCCAGTTTACACAATCAAATGCCTTTTGGTAGTCAACGAAACATATAATCAAAGGTACTTGAAATTCTTTAGACTTTTCAATGAGTTGTGTCAGATCTAGGATTTGTTCTCGTGTATCTTTACCCTTTACAAAACCAGCTTGTTCCTGAGATATTTGGTAATGTAGATAGGTTTTTAATCTGTTTTTGATGATATGCAATAAGATTTTACTAGCATGTGTTATTAGTGACAGTGTTCGGTAGTTTTTACATCTGGTAGTAGTTTCTTCTTTATGCAGCGGGGTATAAATTAAGGTATACCAATAAGATGGCCATTTTCCTGAATTCCAAACAGCGATACAGATAGAATGAATGATATGTAATCCATTGTTACCTAGTAGTTGTAGTATCTCACCTGATATTGAATTATTGCAAGTAAATGGATAGACTATGACATATTCCGTGAAGGGAATAAATGGACTGGTGTAAAGAATTAAGACAAAGCCAAAACATAAATTGAAGGTCTATATCTTGACTATCTGCAGCCTTATGTGATACCTAATGGATGATAATTATGTTCTAGACGAACAGATTTAACGAGGGAAGGGAATCGCAATAAAAAATTTAGAGCCGACCGTGGTAATCTTCGAGAAATGCTTAAAGGTATACCCTCTAATACTTTCCAGTCCTAAAAGTAGGAAAAACATAAATTCAACATGAATAAACGATGCTTGTTTCCGAGAAAATAATTAAAAAGTTCTTAAGCGATCCTGTTACAAGCGATTAGATAAGTGAAATGTAAGAGATATCGAGCGAAATTTTTAGTGGCATTTACTTGAAAGTTTCAAGTAAAAACTGGACATATTGTGGATTTCTTTTAGTTTAAAAATTAATTGTTTATCCTGTAAGATCAATGTTTTAATTGACTTTTTAAGCAGTTATTGAAATAGTTTTAAAGTTAATAGATTATAACTAGTTATGAGCTCTGATATTTGAAATACATCTGCCATGATCTTTTTCATAGTTTTTTTATAATACCATTAAAATCGGCCATATTCCGTAAGTGCGTATTAAAAATTGACTAAACACGATACCCACCACTTAAAAGTATAGATGAGAGCACACAGCAAGCAAGCGATATATAAAACAAACATAATTTAAACAAAACCTCTCCAGGTTCCTGTATACCAACCAACGCACTGACCTCTCCGCCGCCACTGACTCCATTGTGCGTCGCATCAGGGGGTACTGATCGAGTACTGCGTTGAAATGATCCACGGATAATGAAAATAAATTACAATAAGTCTCCGCCCTGACGGACGCCACTCTTCTGGCGTTTGTCAACAGGCAAATTTCACCGAAATAGGAACCATCACTTAAGCTAGTCGCTACCTCACCGTTCGCCATCACGATGTCGACGATTCCCTCCTGTATGAAGTACATCTTGGAACCGATCGTTCCTTCTTTTATTATAATATCACCTAAAACAAATAAACGTATCATTAATATCACTAAAATAACTTCAGAACAAAATCCATATTAAATAAGAGCACAATATACACATCATATTTCGCCTATCTGAAAACGATCATCATCATTATGACATAATGACATTACACTGATCAAAAGACTAGACAATATGTTATTAATAATATAAAATGTTATAACCATTGATTATTGCAATTTAAGAAGGCCATGAGATATTTCTACGTCTTAGTAGTAAGGTGGTTACAGCATACCGAATTATGTTTATTTACAATTTACATCATTACAGAGTATTATGTAAACGTGTTACAGGCTTTGGGGGTGAAGAAGAGACATCCAATGATGTATCATCACCTTGTTCTACTCTGGTTTAGTTTTGAATTAAGTCTTGGGGCCAGGTTCTATCTAGTCTTTTTGTGGCTAGACCATTGTTGGCTAATTCCGTTACTAGCTCATTTTCGTGGTAAATGGTACGTTCATTTTGTGACTCCGTGGTTCGATGGATTTCTTCTCTGATGGAATCTTTAAGTCGTAGTGAAGTGTTTGATTACTTACGTACCATGGTGCATCCACTATCGATCTTAGCACTTTAGACTGGAATATTTGGATGATATTCAGTGACGTTAAGTTTGCACAGCCCCATAGGTATAGTCCGTAGAACCAGATAGGTTTGAGTATGGCTTTGTATAGCCAATACATTTGCCGGAATTTAAGTCTTCTTTTGGTCTGGATATGTTACTGTTGGTATTCTTCTTTTCCATTGTTACACGTAAGCATATGTTGTGACGGTTGGTAAATGTTATTTAAGTTGATTTTGTTTTATTTACTTTTGTTCTTCATTTCGTATACCAATCACTGAGTATGTTAAGATGATGTTGTAGGTTTTGTGAGGCTTGTATGAGATCTTCATTTACAGCTGGTATTGCTACATTGTCAGCCAAGGAAGCGATTGTAGTACTATTAGTCTTTGGTATATCGTCTGTTAATCTTTGAATTTTACAGAGAAATACCTATTTGACATGTAGGATTTGGGAACCAGGAAATAATTACTGGATAGTTCTATTTTTACTTTTTAAAACAGATTTTTGTGCCAGACTTTGTCAAGCGCTTGTGAGATATCTAGAAATATAACATTATTTCTTTTCTTCAAGACTTTTTGATATTCTTCATTTATTATTCAATGGAGTTGTTGAGCAGTGGAGTGATTTTTCCTAAAATCAAACTGATGTTTTGGCAGTAATGTTAGGAATTCATGATCTGCGTATATCCTTTGTAGCAGCAATCTTTCAAAAACTTTGCCTACGGAGCTTGCTTCGGAACGTGAATGGCCTGCATTAGACAGGCCATTCACGTTCCGACTTGTGGTACGACTAGTGGTCCAACTTTTGCAGTTCGATCTGAAATTGGACCGTCAGTGGGCTAGTTGGATTAGTTGGATAACTAATGGTACGAGTCGGAACATCTAGTGGGATGACTTGAAGATCCGACTTCCGACTGGCGACGAAGTCGAAGCGTGAATTGTGAAGTTGGAAGTCAGATCACATCACAGGTTGGATCGAAAATTTCCTCAGTTAGTTGGCCTTCGGCACCTGTTACGTATGAGATTTCTATGAAATATTTTACGCAAAGATCTCTAGTTCGCGAATATTTAATAGAAAATAAACTTTCAATTGCACGAAAATTACTTTTTTGTTAGGGCAAATCATTTTCCTTTCTGTAGATCTATTTCGGACATTCACACACAGGTAAATTTCCGATACTCCGGATTGGCTACGGAAGTATTATTAACAAAAACAATGAAACTTAAATCATAGTTGAAGCGAATGATCCCTAGTTCGCAAAAAAATAATAGAAAATAACTTTCAGTTGCACGAAAAATTATTCCTATTAAAAATATACGACACACACACACACAATAACATAAATCCCGGCATTAGTTTAAAACAAATCAAATATAGATTTCATACCTACACAAATCTTTAAAAACTATAATTTTTTCCTACATCTTAAAACGTCATAAAAATCAAGAGTTGAAAAAATTAGTTAGTTCAGCCCTAGACAAATATCTAGAGAAACGAAACCTAATTTTTAAACATACATATCATAACATAGCAACAATGATAACAAGCACAATGCTGTCATTTTCCTCCTCCTAATTATATTTTGCGTAGTGTTTATTCGATACATTTTTTGGTTAAGCGATGTACACCATCATGAAAACAAACTAGAACTTAAGTTGGACCGCTAGTTGGATAGAAAGTCGGAGCGTGAGTGGAGGCGAACATCCAACTAGTAGTAGACAAGGATCTACAGACCGAGAATTTGGTATACAAATTCCACGGCTTCGCGCAATCTTACTTGTAAGTTCGTATAGTCGGCTGGAGTTTCAATTTGCCAAATTTAAATGTAATCGTTTCTACTCATTCATATTAATATTATAATGTATAATATATTAAAGTTTTTAATATTGGTAATATTATTAAAGCTTTTAATACTATTTTTTAATATTAATATTAATATTAAGTAATTAAATATTGCGCCTTGCTTAAAAAAAGTACGAGATACATAACTCGTTTTTTACATGAAAGTGCAATTTTCTTGCAAATACCTTGAGAGGGGAAATTTCCAATATAACACCAACCAAAAGATAAAAATATTAACTTAGGTACATGCAATCATTATCACTGCTTAGCGTATTTTCATGGAAATCAACCGCTGTGCTGACTAGTATTTTTTTTTTAATTGTGATGAATAAATAAAGTATATATTAAATAAAGGGTATTTTAAATAAATTTGTAATATTTTATGCGAAAAGAAGAAAAGACTCAGTTCCGAGTCGTGAGCGTATTCGTTATATTTTCTTTAATTGTGTTAAGCTACTCGGATGTAAGTCGTTGTTATAATTATTCAAAAAAATGAATTTACAATATTTTTTATTAAATCAAATAAGAAATGTTATAGCAAATTAAGAACTAAAGAAAAAAACCAATTTTCATTTCCTAAATAGCAAATTGTTTCTGAACACTTAAGATTAAAACTTCCAAATAAAATTTGGATAATATTGTAAAGGCTTTTATATACTGAAATTAAATTAAAAAAGAACCTGAAAAAAGTGGAAAAATGATAAAAAATTCCCAAATTTAAATATATCTCGAAAACAAAATACGATCTGGAAAAAGAATATCGGAAATGTTTAATTTTTTTGAGTTCTTCGATTGTGTAGTACCTTCAATTTCAGTTTTTTTCAACAATACTCGAGTATTCCGATTAAGTACTCTCAGCCTTATAAAAATTTCCAAGAAATTAATATCGGATGAAGTTTCAACAAGCGAAATGAAAATCCAGTATGGGCAAAACCAGCTTATTCAAATTATAGGTACCTACCTTTAGTCTTGTATTGAAGGATTTTAATTTATTACCCTTAGCATACGTAAAGATATAAAAAACGAGTTATATTTATCTCGTACTTTTTTTAAGTAAGGCGCAATATTTAATTACTTAATATTATTATTAATATTAAAAAATAGTATTAAAAGCTTTAATAATATTACCAATATTAAAAACTTTAATATATTATACATTATAATATTAATATGAATGAGTAGAAACGATTACATTTAAATTTGGCAAATTGTAACTCCAGCCGACTATACGAACTTACAAGTGCGATTGCGCGAAGCCGTGAAATTTGGATGCCAAATTCTCGGTCTGTAGATCCTTGTAACTAGTAGTCCTACTAAGTGGGACCACAAGTCGGAACGTGAATGGCCTGTCTAAAAAATTCTCTGATAATTTTTTGTCTGATTTTTTTCATTGGTCAAGGGTTCATTACAATCAATCTTTTAATTAATTTATTTAAAATGTGGAAAGGTTTCGTTAATTTTCCTATTAATTAAAGTTTTTAATATTGTCGTTGAGTGGTGTCTGAGTTTAAATTTTTTGACCCATAATTGTATGTTGTTTCACTGCATGTAGTTGCTTGATTCTCTATTGATTTAATTTTTGATAATTTACTTTTTTACGTATTATTGATAACGTTGTTCATATGTATATTGAACTAATATTATACCTTATATAATTATTCCTTTTTCTATTTGTGGATTGGATGTACCTGTCAGCTTGTACTAATCTTTTAAATTTCGTCGAATTAATTTGCCAAATATCTCGACTATCACGATCCTCCGTCTACCCATAAAATCCCTATACAATATAATGCTACCTACGCTGTATATTAATGTTATCCTAAGGGATCTTCGTAAGCTTATTACACGTTTGTCCTTAATATTGTTAACTATGACAGGACATTGGAGGATACATATTAGTTACTCAGTTTCGCTTTAATTATCAATATACATTAATATATTCAGATAAATATTGACAAGTTTTGACGACTTATTAAGCAGTAATAGATACTGATATAATATGCTATGTAATATGTATCGTTGGTGCCTCCGAGGAAAATCACCCTTAATTATTTTTCGACCAAAATAAATATTCTTTGATAAGTGTCAGCTTTAATAATTGTTAGTTCCATTGCAAAAACATTACTCTAATTTATTAAAATTCTAAGATATTTATATGTATAATAAAAAAAATGCTCTCTCCATCCCAATAATTTCTGTCCCCAATTTTCAACCCCCCATCGGACGACATCTTGACTTGAAGTGTGTAATATTTAAGACTAGTAAAGAGTTATAGAACGAAGTATGATGATCGTTTTCGTAAATTTGTTATATTATTGTTATATTGTATAAAATAATATTAACTTTCAAAACTAATGAATTACAGCATAAAAATAATCTTAAACATCAACTTACCAGGTTGGAAGACTTCATATTTCAACTTAGTAACAACATCGGATACAAAATTCGAGTCGGCGTTCGCGAAGAAAGGTACAGAGGCCACCAGAGATCTGCAATTGTAGTTGATGACGTCCTCCCGGAGCTTCTCCGACAGCTCTCCCAGGATGCACTCTTCGTCGAAGAACTTGCCCTGGTAGCGATGCTCGAAGTACTCGGTGATGCGCTGGCGCATCTCCCTCGGCAGCTTTCGGTACGCCATGTACTCCTCAACTTGCTTTACCTGATCGGTGCAGTAAGGGAAAAGTGCGATTTGAGTTTTAGTCAGGCTCGGGCTGCAGTTTTTAACTATTATTTTTTTGTTTTTTATCGGATAATTACAGTAATGGACTGGGGAAGAAAGGAAAGGTAGATAGTACACGCTCAAAGTACGTGGTGTAGCAAACTGTTTAAACCAATTAACTATAAATGTTCTATATATTTAGGAAGTTACTTTCAGTCTATCATAAATCTAAATTGTAGAAAATTGATGCTAGTTATTAGATTTAAAAGTTTGGCTAAACTATAAGACTCTAAAAATTGTTTTCTGTTAGTTATGTACCCAAAATATATGATCCGCAGAAATTAATTATATACCTACATATAGCTACAAATTAAAAAAAGAAACGTTAAAATCCGTCAACAATAAGGAGCTATAGTTTATAGCACGAGTTTTTCTGTCCACTACTCCAAGCTGAGCGAATTGGAGCTTCACATTTCGAATTATATATTTAATAAATGTTATAAACAAACCTGCTGTAGATTTTGTTTAAAAAACGGACTAACTTTTTCTTTAATCATCGTAGGAAGACTTTTTTTTAATTTGTAAAAAATTCCAGTTTGCTTTATAGTTCTTTTGATAAAATCCTCTAGGCCTTTCATTCTGCTTATGGTAACCTGTACCAGATACCTGGTCGGGCCAAAGTCCCCAACATTCTACTTTTTTGTGTTATTTCTCTGATCCTTTCAGCGCAAGTGCCTTTATACATTTAGATTACATTTGGTTACACAACTTAAAACAGAAAAGAAATTTCTATGAATCCTGATGTACCGAGCATGTAAAAAGCAGTTCAGAAATGTAGTCGGTGGTGTGGAATGTGTGTGACTTGCGTGGTTGTTTATGTCGATAAAGAGGAAAAAAGCTAGTTTAAATATAAAATCTGTTTTGCAGAAAACCGTTACATACATATAAATGCGAAAGCTATTTATATTTTATGTTTATAATATCTTATTTGAACTACAAAGATTTAATTTGTAATATTGCTGTAAAAAATAGAAAAGTCTACATACAGGGTGAGTTATAACTATTAAAACATGGACTAAAATTAAATTATTTGGACCAGAATACGTATATTGTATCAAATACTTCACCCCAGGTATACAATTTAGTTAAAGCTATTTGCTTGAGTCATATTATTATTTACTTTTTTTTGACGTTTTATTTCCGAAGTCAAAATCCAAACATCAAAATAAACTGATTGATTAATTAATGAAAAAGTTGCTGATGTAAGTACTTACTGATTATATGTCAACACATTTAGATACCAGTAGATACAACTTAAAATATTTTTTTATTTGTACTAAAAAGGGACGACGGGTTTGGGGGTTTACAAAATGTAACGCATCATTAGGCATAATGGAAGAAGCTTTACAGGCTAAAATAATAGCTTGAATGAGTGTAATACTAGCCTAAGTGTATTCAAGTAATGAAAAATAATATCTTTACTGATAACATGAAAATACATAGAAACACAGACTACAATATTCTGAAGAGAAATTAAAGAGGATATACAATGCACAAAACTAGACGAAGTACAAAAAATCTATAGAAGAAAATTACGAAAAGGCAAAACTAAGGAAAAAGATGAAATAATAAACGAATTTATTAAGCACGAAAGATACGTGCTACAACAACAAATACAGGTTGCGCAAAGCCTCTAGCTTTCTCTGATTACCGATAAACAATGGAGTAACAGAGACGTCTACAATTTAAAGTTAATTTTTATTATATAGGGTCAGTCAGAACAACGGAATCAACCAAAGTTGTGCTTTTTTAAAGGAACACCCTGTATATTAAAGCATTTTTGAATGGATTTTTAAAAATAGGAAGAGTTTATATAAGGTTTTATATGCCTAAAGTTATTAATTTTTGTATTATGTATCACTTTTATTTAAAAAACGGTAATATTTAAAGGGCTGTGAATGAGCTTTCAAAGATAATGAAAATGTAATTAATGTGTAAAAATCATCTAGTGTTTCATCTTTGACATTTAACCATACAAAATATAGTCTGATCACTATTTTCAAATCCAAAATTTTCTATTTTTTTTAAATAGAACACCCTGTATATTAGTGTTGTATTTTGTAGAAAACAACATTTCTTTTGGTATGAGGTAAATCTCAATGAAGATATCTGTGGAAAATGTTCAAATTGCCACCCTATGTAAGTTGGGCTTGCGATTTTAGTCGACTGAATCATAGCTATTGATGGAATTCAATATATCTCTTTATTAGCATCATTTAAAGCGTCTAAGTTTATTTGTTTGTGACTTTATTGTCTTTGTTTCTATTTGAGACCCGAGATAATATTGGCGAAACTGACTATTGTCAAACTAAGTAAGATATTCAGATTTATGTAGCTGAATAATTACTTTTAGAGACTATATTTTATAAAGAATAGAGTGAATTTTTAATGAAGTTTACTATAAAAGTAAAATACAGGGAAATGTCATTATTTTTTAAATGTATGTATACAGGGTGATCAAAATTTTTGATAAAGTCCGGTAAAACTGTGATTATAGGGGATACCAATAAAAGTTATTTACAAAAATACAAAAAAGTTGCAAGCTTCATATTTTAAAAATAGTTATAGATATACACTGTCTTCCATAACACTGTACTACCTTAAAGATATGTTTTATCAACGGAAACATCCTGTATTTTATATTAAATTTAAAATCGGCTTTATTTCCTTTAAGTTATTTTATGTTATATAGGCTATTTAACAAGTTAAACCTAAATTTCAATGAAAATTGTAAAGAATTTACAGCAAAACAAACTATTAAATCGTTTTGTATTGTTTTTGACAAACCTGTAAGCACCCCTTCAATTTTTTTAATATGATCCTGGATTTCCTTCTATATTTGAAGAATTATGGCTCTTATCCCTAGCGCAAATGTAAGTTCTAGCTTTGCTAAAATAATCGTTGTAATGATGTCAATAGTTTGCCTATTTTTTCTAACCTTTTTTCACCCAAGCATTTGTTTAAATGTTCTTTCGAAGATTCAGGTTTTTTGACACTAGCTGATGAATTTTTCAAATTTGAATATCTCTGACTCTCCCAAACAGATTTGAAAGCATAAGACAAAACCAACAAAGAAGTGAATTTCTAAAATAACTACCGCATAAAAATTTATAGTTCTCATACCGTATTGTTTTAAACGATCTAGAAAATGGTCAATTATCATTCTTATCTGTGGATAAAATTTAGAATTTGGCAAAGGCTAGCCCCTTACAGCAATTTCTAATCTTTCTTGATTTTGGCCCCTTGAAAAAGGCATTTCAAACTACATATTATTTATATTTTTAATACCCCGAAGCCTGAATGAAGCCGAAGGCGCGCGATTTTATTGCCTTTCGAAAGTAGCCGTGCTGCTCAGGTTACTCCTGCCTAAGAATAAGACAGAGAGAAATATAGATGTTTATTCTATTCTTAGGCGAAAATTTGAAGCGACATTTTACTACGAGGGGCACAAAATAATTACTTCGGAGAGAATGAACTAAAATTTCTGAGAGAATATAAAAAAATAGCTTTTTTTTTTTATTTTAAATAGGTATTCATAAATCAAAATTTTGAAATAAGTAGTTTTTAATAATGAATAATTTATTATTGTACATTTAAAGAGGTTAGGGGGCGCCTACCTTGCCTACCCCAACGGGCCGCCCCTGTCCTGTATAATTGAAAAAGGATAAAAAAGTAACGGCCTGTTGCAGCCATTACTATTGCCAAAATTCATAAAAATTATTGATTTTGGTTATACTCTTTAAAGCTAATACAGGGTTAGGCATTGATTGACTATTTGACTTACCCAGCATTAGATTTAACGAGTAGAGGTAAATTCAATCAAGTTTATAAGTTTTGATAATCTGTTAAAAATTATGGATCTAACAGATCGTCACCTTTGTACCCCTTTTCAAATATATATGGCGTTGAACGTTGTGATTTTAATTGAGATGTGATCATAACTTTTTAAATACCCCGTATAACATACCATAACTTTGTTTTCTTGTAACTAGGAAGTAGAGCGTATTTTAAAATTAAAATAAAACACGGGGTGGTTTCAACATATCTTTGATGCGGTACTGTGTTATGGAACACCCTGTATACTTGAAACTAACTTTACAATGCAAGGCTTACAGCTACCTCCCATTTGTGTAAATTACTTTTGTTGCAAAACAGTATTTAGTATGTAGTTTTCTGCAAAACCGATTTTCTTCAATAATTCAAATCAAAAATATTTTATAAAAATTCGTTATTAATAGAAAATATTTAGACTGTTTTGTTTTTAATATTTACAGTTTGATTTTGATGAATCCAGCCACCATTAGTAACCAGAAAATGAAAGTTTAATATTTTCCATTAATAAAAACACATACACCAACAAAAATCTGCATAATACCGAATTTTAAAAAATATATCAGCATTTTTATATACATATTGTTATAGATGAACACTAAGATCTATTGCATCAAGTTGATTGCTATTTTTCTGACGAAATCTAGTTATAATTTTTACCTGTTTTGGTAATATTTACAAAAAACAAACAACAGAAATCAACTATACATAAATGTGAAAATAATCTAAGATTTGAGGAATTATAAATATACTAGCAAAAGATGATATTCACTTTTTATTTTTACTTGTTTTATCACCTTATTCAATATTTTATTGAATATTATTGAACAGTATTAGTCTCCCTGTCTGATTCCAGTTATTATTTTGGTAGTTTCTATTTGAATTTATACTTCAGTTTAGTTTCGTATGTTTATATTTTCTATCAGATTTATGAGATCCAATGGCACTTGTTTATTACACAGTAGATGTATAGCGTCTGGTAGTCGCACTTTGTTGAATACGTTTTTTAAATCGACGAAGTATATGTATGTAGGCTGTATATGTATATGTATTTTATATATTTCTCAACTATTTATATAATACATCGCGAAAGTAGAAATCCTAAGATT